GAGGTATCCCCCTCCTCTCTCGTCAACAAGTTACGCATCAAATACCACACCTTCCCCTCCACAGTATCTCTTCCTTGTATCCTCTCTGCTTTAACACTGTAGTCCCCTTCCATCATAGGCTTACATCTCTCTCTCTCTCTCTCTCTCTCTCTCTCTCTCTCTCTCTCTCCTTCCTCTTCACTGACCCTTTTATAGCTCCTGCCTATTTGTCCCTACTTTATTTATTTATTTAATTTTCCTATGGGTTTTTATTCCTACCTCCTCTTCCTTCTATTTTCTGTCTTTCCCCCTTCTCCCTCCTTCATTTCCTTTCTTATCCACCATCGTCTTCCCCGGCCTTTAATCCTCCCTTCTCATGTATCCCCATTTCCCACATGTATCACTCCTAAGCTCCCCTCTTCCTTCACCCCACAGTACTAGTGTTTTAGTGAGTTTTATGGGAACATTATACAGTACATACACTATATCTATGTTTAGTGAAACGTAAAGGGAGTTATATAAATGTATGAATTTATTGTTCTCTAGTGAGTTAATAAGAATCTTTTATATAAATTGTTCTCTGTGAGCTACGAAGTATTTAAATTTATTGGGTTCTTCAGTGAGTTATTTACGTTTTAGAGGGCAAGGGTTTCTCTCAGCTATATAAAATACCTAAGTACAGGGCTGTCCTACAGAGGGTTAAGAAAACTGTGATATAAATCTGTGTGCGCGCGCGCGTGCGTGCGTGCAAGGACAGGTAACGTATGATTTGATAAAGAAGTGAGCTTACCTTGTAAACCAGTAATATTTTCAGTGTAAGGAATGTGTACAGTATACTTGTAAACCAGTGTGGTGTGTGGGAGACTTTGCAGCTGTTTGTTGTAGGTAAACCAGTAGTAGTGTACCCTTGTAAACCGCTAACAGTATTTTAGGTGAATATAGTCTACACTGTATACCCGTGTAAACAATAGCAATATTTAAGGAGTGTATAGTGGTAATTTAGGAAACTTTAGTGTATATCGTATGCCTTTTAGTGGTAGTAATAGTAGTGTATAGCATGTCGTTTATTTCGTCAGTCAGGAGTGAGTAAATTTGTAGTACCTTTACTCAACCCTTTGATCGACACCTGCCCGAAATATTGCATCACTGTAAATGTTTTTGACTTTGTATTTTTCGTAATATCACACAGGAATATGAAAACCGTGTTTGGCCTTTCTGTGCCGTGTAGGGTAGGGATGTGGCGTATGGAGTAGGGGCGTGGGGGGTAGGGATGTGGCGTATGGAGTAGGGGCGTGGGGGGTAGGGATGTGCAGGTAGAGGATTTGTTTGGTCTACACTAGAATTTTTGTGGCGTTGACGTAATATATTCGAGTAAGGGAGTGCTTTAGTATAATCGTCATACAAGTTTGCATTGACTTACCATGTATAATATACGCATTGGTTTATATCCGGTCCGTAGAATTATAAAACTAAACATATTTTCTCCTTTATAGTTTGGGTTTTAAAGGATCTGAAGTGTTGCCTCACGTGCCAGTAAAAAAAAAAATAATAATTGTATGCTGCTACCTAGTGACTTAGAGCTGGGGTAGGTGTATTGAACATGTTGACATTTCCTCACCAACACTCAAGATGTGGCCGTAGTTTTGCTTCCCTTAGAGCTTTGGCTGAAATTAGGTGGTGTTGACACTACGCTTGGCCAACTCAGCCCGCGCAGCTGCCGTTATGAAGCTGTTCATTTTATACATTTAATCAGAAATTTAGTGAGGCTCATTTACCACTTTAAAGCGATGGCCAATTGGAGCGAAATTTTGTTTAGTGTGGAGTAAATGATGCCCTGTCTCCGTCCGTTGATGCTAAGTAATGTTTTTGTATTGGAATCAATGTTTCTGCTTTATGTGTGCGCACAGTGTGATGTCAAGGATATGTACAGTACAGTGATCTTGAGTAGCTTTTACATTTTGGTGTCAAAGTGAAATCTCTTTATCAACACCTATCGTGTTGGTTTTAAATGTACAAAATGAAAATTGTGAGTGAGGAATTGGTTAATGAACGTGAATGTGAGAATTTACCCGTACATTTTAAAAGTGCTTTTTTTTAGTTTAACAAATTTATTGACAAAGCTTGGAATACAGTTTGCCTATTCTGAGTAATTCAGTCAGGTCTTGACACTGAGGGTGGTATCACTTCTCACTGCCACGCAGGACAGAGGTTCGTACACAAAGAAATACATCATATTCATTGACAGTATATATAGGTCAGATTCATGCGGGTAATGTCACTGTTCACTGCCATGCAGGACAGAGGTTCGTACACAAAGAAATGCATCATATTCATTAGCAGTATATATAGGTCAGAGTCATGTGGGTAATGTCACTGTTTGCTGCCATGCAAGGCAGTGGTGCGGGAGGCTTTGTTGTCGCGCGTGCCACTTCAAATATCACCCGAAAATCATTGTTAATAAACATGTCTCTTCCTTTTCAATTCAAGTAAACATCTCTTTGTGTGTTTCTTGTTAGCATGTATGTTTGTTTTGTATGTTTAGGGTATTTATTTGTGTGGGCATACATATTGATCGAGAACAGATCCAAACTTACTGGCAGTAGAACGTAATATTGAACACTCGAGCTTAGGACAACTGGCAGACCATAAAAGAGTTTGAATAATTCGCCCTGAAAGTGAATTTGCTTGGTGACAGGCAATTAAGGTGAATTGTGGCTGGCTTGGTTATACCCCTTGGTGACCGTCGTATTAAAAGCGAATAGTTGCATCCCAGACAAGTTTTTATACCCCCCAGCAGCAGCTGATACTGCTTGTGGTGGTGCACTTTGGTATAGCAGTTCTCCATACCGTGAGGAATTGAGCCCTGCTGAGTGACGGACATTGCACACACACTTGAAAACACAACACTAAAGAAACGAAAGAAGGAAAGAGCGTGTGGTTGTCATGTTTAACGGAGGAGAGAGAGAAGTGGAAGTATACAAGGGAGTGTGAATTTTTTTGTAAGGCAGAGAGAGTGGAAAGATTGGAGTGGTGATAGCATTAAAGGGGGAAAGGTAGAGTATACGACAGCATGTACTTGTGAGATGTTTTTGTGTGCGAGTGCAGAATGAGAGTGGGGAGAAGGGAGAGATTGAAGGGTAGAGGGAGGGGTGTGCATGACAGGTCGAGACTGGTGATGGGAAAGGAGAGAGGGGCATGATAAGGACCCCATTCATTATAGGGAATGGGGTGCCTGACGCCCCACTCGTCATGTTATAGTGGTGTTAGTTACTGTGCTCCTGCCCTGCCCTACACCACTCACAGCTTCCTCCTCTGCCGCATCAATAATACTGATCGCCGGCTTTGCCCACAGCCGCTTCTTGCTCGACGCACTTGATTGCGTGAGTGATTTAGGAAGAAGGAAATAGAAGAGGTGTGAATCTGGGGAACGTTTCTGTACTGTTCTCACACGTCTTCTGGTGTCGGGTGAATTGACCACCAAGGGTGCTTGTTGTGCTTGCTTGACAGCTGCGAAGAGGACATGCAAGAAATTTTGTACCTTTGAGTGTGTGAGGTTGATTGCATCCATATTACACTATGATCTTGACAACCTTTGACACGTCACTCTTAGAAGTGACGGGTGAAGTTAAATATTACGCTGATGGAAACCGCATTTCCTTTGAATTTGTCTGTCCGTCCTTTGAATGTGTGTGTGTGAAACTCAGGTGGTGGTTGTGTGGTCACTTTATAGACTTTCTGTCTACACTACTTGTTTCAAATCTAAAATAAACATTGCTAAACTACAAAGTTATATAATATTGATCAATTGTTATACAGTAGTGTTATTGGCAGACACCATCGCAAAAAGAGTACTAGGCTGAAGTGTTTCCAAGTTGAAGAATACTGATGGACGAGGAAGCACTAAACAGTACAGTACAGTGCAGTACTGTATTGACATTACATTATTTGTTTTTTATTAAACCTCCTTTGCCTAATAAAAATTAATGTGGGATGTAACGAAATGTGCAACTGTTTGGAGACCAAGTTAGTTGTCTTGCATCATATTCCTATATGCAACAAATTTAAATGTACTGAGGTGTACTGTGGTTTACCGCTTCTCAACAGAGCTCATTCCTTGCGGTTAGTCACTCGCAATATGCTAATATGAATACAGTACAGTACTGCATTTGAAAGCATGTATTGTGGCAGTTAACCAATTGACCTTCCAGTAACATGACAAATGGTGCAACACTGATGTTTCTTTATATGAGTTACCCTCATAAGCCCTTCTTGCATTAGTCTATGGTAAAAATGTCGTGTTTATTCTTCAACCTGTAAATACTGTACTTCAGGTACTTTTTCACTTAATTAGTCATGTTTTGCATTTTGGAGTATTCGATGGTCTACCCACATACGAGTAGGTTCTCATACATGAAACAATTTGTAATCTTAACTAATTCCTATTCTAATCTAACCTTACCTATATGTATTTTAATCCACCTAAACCCCTATTTATCCTGCCGTGAATTAGTTTGTTTCACCCCAGTCATTCTTTACTATGTTTTAATCTAAGCACACCTGTTATAATCCAATCATACCTCAGGTTGCTTTGATCCAGCTGCAGTATATTTCAATGTGTTTTGATCAAATTATATGTTTAAAATCCAGCCCTACTTCGGTTTGCTTTAATCCAGCCATACTTCAGTGCCCCACAATCTTACCATACATAAATTTTACATACTCTTCACATACCTGTTTTGATTCTACCATTCCTCAGTTTTCAGAATCCTGCTATATCTCTACATCTGTTTTGATCCTGCCATGCCTCAAGTTTGTAATCATAATCCTGCTATACTGTACATCAATTTTTTTTAGATTTATCATACCTAACTTCCTCTAAACCCAACTTCTGTATTCCTTGTTTTATGATCAGGATCTGTTATGAAGCATCTATGTTTTTGGTTGTAACTGAATTATTGTGAATTCTAAAGAAATTAATGAACCTTGCCATATATACATACTAATGTTGTATCCCTTGGCAGATCATTGCAGGTGTGGGAACAGACAGGTCGCTGCCACAGTGAACTGCTGGAGGAACAGCAGCATCAGGAGGGAGGCTCCAAGCTTGGAGGTGGCCTCAGGTTCCCCCACACCACCATACTCTGGGTCACATGCCAGCAGGTGAGACCTGTCAGGATATACTGTTTTATCGGTTTCATTTTTATTTCAGAAATTGTAACCTGAGTTTCCATAAACTTCTGGACAGCACTGATTATTGTGACATTACTCGGGTACCTTGCCCCGTAGGAGAGGAAAATTCTTTTGACCAGAAATTTAGGTTTTGAGCCATGACTCCTTTTGATGCACCAAATGATATTGCATAGGTTCCTTATCTTAGGGAAGAGGAAGGTCCCTTTTGATTTCAGGTTACTGTGGATATGCTGTACAGTACTTGACCATCTTATGCACCATTAGTGGTACAGTGATTCACCATATTAATTGACAGGGTGGCGAGTATTTAAATATAAATTTACAATATATATAATTGGTAACTGGAGTGTTTTGTTATTCTTAGATACATAGTGTACAGCTGCACAGTTGATTTAATAAGGTAAAACACTGGTATTTTACACTTAAGCATATAATTATTTTTTTTAATGTAATTATTTTATTTATATACTGTTATCCTTTTATTTTATTATTACATAACTGTATAACTTTTTTTTATGTAATATATGTTTTATGTTATGAAGAAGGTTGGGAAGACTACCTAGAATACATTCATAATTTTTCTCTTTAAATTACGGGAAAACCCTTCATGGTTTAGGAAATTTCGGCATCTGAAAGGATTGCAAGAATGTATCCCATTTGTAAATAGAGGATTAACTGTACACTACTGCCTAGCCTGAATTTTTTTAGTTACTCATGATATACCCTGTACAGTACAGTATTAACAGACAGTAGTTCTTTATGGCATCTCTATCATACTGTGAATGACCATCGTATTTGCTTGCACATCTTATTTGTAAATCATTATCTGTATTTTGTATTACCACATTAATGTATCATAAACATCCACAGGATGTTCTCAATGAGCGCTTGGATGCTCGGGTGGATGACATGATCAAGAAAGGGCTTCTCCAGGAGCTGAAGGGTTTCCACTCCTCTTACAACACCAAACGTCTGAAGGATGGGGAACCTCCTGACTACACCAGAGGCATTTTTCAGAGCATAGGCTTTAAGGAATTCCATGAGTTCTTAATCTTGCCTGAGGAAGAAAAAGAAACTGATAAAGGAAGAAAGTTATATGAGGCAGGAGTTCAGTCAATGAAATTAGTGAGTACTGTACTACACTATGTTGTTTTACAATGATTTTAAATTTTAAATGTTATGCTTTGATTCTCAATTTGTTTTAAACCACTATCAATTCTTTATTAATTTATTCTGAATTACTTTAATCATTAACACCTTACTGTTCTAGCTTATTCTTTTATATACTGTATTTTGATCTGATATTTAATCATTAACACCGTACTGTTTTAGCTTATTCTTTTATATACTGTATTTTGATCTGATATTTTTTTCAAGAGTACTACTCTGAGTATACACTCGTAGTATGTGTTGTTACTTTTCATTTATTAGAGATAGGAGTGTAGTTAATAGAGTGGCTGATTTAATTGAATTTTAGTGTTGCTAAGACACATGTGACCAGAATTTTAATTTACTATCCTAGTTTAAAGTTGTCTTAGATAAATCATTTGAGATGATTTTATAGTAGTAATATGCCCATAGTGAAGGAACTCGTGCAAATAAGAAATAAGTTTAAAAACTTGGGACGTCATTATATATATAATACATACAGTACTGTACAGTACAAAGGGTGAGAATGTCTTTTAACCCCTTGTGTATTGGGTCCTCTCTGTGCTGAATAATATCATCTGGCATTAGCCAAATAAAACATTAAAAGTGACGTCCCCATATTAAAGGGGTTAATGGTTCTTCTCAGTATTAAATTCTTGGGCTTTTAAGTAAATACAACATAATAAGGCTAACAAGTTGTGGCTATGCTAAAGAATTTGATTTTTTGAAGGGATCCAAGGGTGTAGGCTCCACCATTGACTCAGTCCCTGGCCAGGGGGATTAAGATGGTGAAGCCCCAGGTGGACCCTTCTTGATATTCAGCATTTTGAGGACCTAGGAATGACTCCAAATTTATTATGGGTAACTATTTTTCCTTTATTCATGTGCTATTCCATTGATGATTAAAAGGGTAATAAAACATTAGATTATTCTTTGTATTATCAGTACTGGTACCTGCTCAAGTGCCCTTGGTTAAGTTGATCCTTTTTGAACAGTTGTCTGGAATGTTAAACTTAATATTGTGTATGTTAGCTACAAGCCAGTCCTTTAGTGCCCCCTTCAAACCTTAATATTTTTTGTTCAGATGTAACAAAGGTTACATTCAGAGGAAGCAAAGCTTTCAATGGGGCATTGCAAAGTTGAAGCCCGTAAGTGTTTTTAATGGCATATTAAACTTTAGAGTACTGTAGTGAAGAAAGGCACAGTGGTGCATGAAAGTAGGAGAATAGGTTAGAATACAGTATGTCTTATGCCCTATGTGAGACTTAGTGGACATGATGCTAGCAAATGAAAATAGTACAGTAATTGACTGATATAGTTATAAATTGTTTTAGTGTAAATAAGCTTGTGTTTAACGAAGAGCAGCAGAAATGATGATAAATTATAGCTGTCGTGGATTACCAAATATTGCGTGATGTATACAGTAGTGTGTACAGGTAGGTCCTACCAAATGAGGAACAGATGAGTGAGAATTTGGTTTGACAAGCATTGTAATGAATATTCAATGAACGAGCTTGTATATTAATTTAACAAGCAAAATTCCTAGTGAACCAGCTTATGTTGTCAATTGTGGAGTCATTTTCTGTGATCAGCCAGGCTAGTGCACTTGTAGACCCATACATGTACTCTGTGCTGAAGTCAGTGGCACACTGAACCATGATGGTGGGCATTTATTTTCTGGGTACAGGCCTGTATCACCTGCACTTGTGATGTCCACAGCTCTCTTTCATCTCTCAGAAAGCATTGTAGATTTAACCAGGCATGATAGTCCTTAATGTCTCAACACAAACACAAAAGTGATGATATTAAGTGCAGTAGTCATCATCATTATTATCATTTTACGGCCATTTTTCATGCATACATGTATTAGCCGTGATTACCTGATAGCATCTGTTGGGTAAAACCAGAATGGGATCTCTCTCTCACCACTGCAAATCCAGCAGAGATCAGGGGATGGGCACAGGTCTAGGCCCTATTGTGGGTCGATGACCTGTGCCCGAGTGGGCTCTTCCCTGTTAAAAAAAAATTAAAATACAGGTATGAAGAAACAATACAGAACCTAAATGGTTGGTTAGCTGTGTTTGAAGGCTAATGTGGGGTTATATTAGGAAATACAGTGTGACAGTGCCAGTGTTATCAGAGCAAGGATTTGTCATTATGTGAAGCAGTCCACTAACTTTTCCTTTTAAGTCAGTGGTTGCTTCAAAGAAGCCACAAGTACCAAAAATTGTCAGGGAAAAATTTTCTGGAGTGAGAGTTGTGAACTCTTTTGGAACAACCTGCCAGAGAATGTTGTAACAGCACCAAGTGTGTGAGCTCATTCAAGACCAGACTTGACCAACACTGGCATAGGTCCAGGTACATTATGGAGTCATTACGTGCCAAGTACTTGCCAATACAGTAGTGCCTAGCAAGAGATGAGACTGACCACCCAAGTTGGTAACTGATCAATCATTGGTGAAGAGGATAAAGTACCGGTATTACTATCTCTTGCTGGGGGGGATAAAGATTTAGATACTTCTTTCCATACTTATATCTTTTTTTTTTTCCTCTAGAGTAAAACTCAAATCCATTTCAAATATATCAATAAAACATTGTTATACAAAGTAAACCTTGTAGTACAGTAACTAAGTGCCTTCTGTTAAAAAGGATATTCTGATATTATTTATGAATTTTTTTAATTATTATAATTATTTTTATTTCTTGTAGCTGGGAATATACGCAGATGCTTGTCTTGTAATTTCTATTTAGTGCTATTCATATCCATTCTTATTTTTAATTGCTTACCCATCACAGTACTTCTCATTACTGTTTATATACAGTACAGTATTCAGCTCCTTCCCGACTTATGACCTACTCGACTTACGACATGCCTCAGTCGTACCAACATTTTGTCAAATTATGTATTTTCGAGTCCCAACGTCAGTACACAGAAAATTTTCGCTTGTAATTCACTTTAAAATGGCTGGCAAGCTTAAAAGTGAGAGTTTTGTGGTGCTGAGAAGAAAAAGAGATACCCATTTTAGATTTTCTTTGTATTATTTAAGCATTTTCGACTTATGACCTGGATTTGGGTCCCTAACCCCGTCGTAAGTCGGGGAGGAGCTGTATTGTTTTATGATGCCTGTACCACTTCAGTAATTTATAACATGCCTTATTTTCCCATAGGCAACACGACAATATACGAAGAAGCAAATAAGATGGATAAAAAATAGGTTTCTTCTGACACCGGGACGACAGGTAAAAGCATAGTCTTGGATCTTTACTGTTCCTCCTTAAAATAAAGGCTCAAGGGGTATCGACATGAATCCTGCCATCTCTTAGTCAATGCAGCCATATCTGCCTTTCCACCATCTTTAGTTCAATATTGTTGGGGCTCTGGGTTCAACAAATTAGCATGTAATATAAAATTATCCCAACATATTAAAATCACCAGTACTTCACAAAAGAAAATAATGCCAGAAGATGTAGTTAAAACTTTGCAGTTTTGAAATAAGTACAGTACTGTATTATGGTATACTGCAGTGTGCTGTATAATAAATACAGTACTGTATCTCAATCCACCCTATATATTTACTGTATAGTAGTATAGTATGTACAGTATATACTGTATATGTTAGGCTCACTAATGTGGTATACTATGGGGAGTAATGCATATCCTCCTGCCATTGGTTAAGTACACTAATATTAATTACAATATTCTTTGTAATACAGTAGATTAAAGCCACTGCACATTTGAATAGATTTCTGTAGACAACAAAAACTTTCATAAAAAATATTAATTACATTCTATTTTACAGGTTCCTCCAGTATATACAGTTGATGGGACAGATCCTAGCCAATGGAATAAAAGAGTGCGTGATCCAGCTCAGAGTATTATTCAGGCATTTATTGATGGTACACAGCCAGACCAGGAGACAGCTAATATACCAGAGGACTCAAAAACACCAGCTGATGTAAACAGAAGTAAGGTCATGTTTCAGTAATTTAGAATGGTATTTGAGGAGTGCACGATTGATTGTACTGTGGATTTTATAATGTAGTTACTTGTCATTACTAAAGTTATGTAAGATCCTTCCATTAAGAGACTTCTCAATTCCCTTCAAATTTCATAAAGCTTAATGGTAGGTCCAAGTTACATTATCTAAAGGGTGCATCCACTAAGAGGATACAATGTTTGTCTCCTGACTTAAGGGTTGCTTGTTTACATCTGGGATATGCAACAGTGAATGCATATCTAACTTTACACTTGGAAGTGAAGGCAGTTAAGTACAGTAGTACCAGCTACCCTGTGTAGGAAATGTTAGTGGAGAAATAGTGAGTATATAGAAGCTGTGAACTGGGACTGTGCATTTATTATTTTTTTTTTTCTTTGCAGATGATAAAACACGATATGAATGTACGGTCTGTAATCGGGTGATAATTGGAGAACGGATTTGGAAGGCACACCTAGGAGGAGGAAAGCATAGGAGGATGCTGAAAAAACAACAGCGCCTTGCTAGTGAAAAAACTCAAGTTTCTTTGTGTGCCCCTACAGTAGAAACTAAAACCTGAGCACCACTGAACTTTAAATTTATTGAAGGAAATAAAATATTATGAAGACAAATATTGATCTTATTTTTTAAATAGCCCAAAGCATTGTGAATTAATCAAGGTTGGCAAAGACCTAAAATTTTAACACAAAGATCCAGCCCACCTGGGTGTATTTTTTAAAGCAGGTTTATTCAATATACTAGACCTATGGTATGCTACTATACAGTACATACATATGTAATGGCTTCAAAACTTATATTTTTAAAAATGTTTTATTATTTTTATTTTACTTTTTAAAATGCAGATATATTTGAACAAAGCAATTCATAGAAAGTGAAGAAACTGACACCATTAAACCGACTCCATGCAGTCCTAGGCTTAGACGGAGAACGGGGTAGGCACCCAACACCTGCCCTCCACCCCCCCCCCCTCTAACCCCCAAGATCACAACCGTATGATCCTACCACCCCCACCACTGTTGGAACAGATAAGTCGCAACATTTAGGGTTAAAAGTGTGTGTACCCAGAAGTTGTGTAAGAATTATAATTCAGGAAAGACAGTTTTTTTTTCTCCATAGAAAGAGAGCAAGTCGGGTAACAGACATCAGCCAAGCTGAAGCAATCATTATACTGTACTCACCAATCCACCATGGTATTTCCAAGCATTGGTTGACTTGCACAAAATAAATCAATAATAATAATAAAGATGACTCGAAGCATCTGTGGTTTCTGCAATGAGCCCTCGGGCAACAAAGCCAGGTTCCTTACATGCCAAAGGAGCTATTAAAGCTTTCAAATGTATATGTTTCTGACAATAAGCATGTTATGTTTCTTTGTAGAGTGTATGAAACAAGGCGGTATTACTGTAGGGAATATGAAATCAAGATAAACTAGAAAATGATCAGTGCAAGCAATAAATAAAAGAACTACAGCAAACAATACTGGAAGGATTAAATAACTGGCAAGAAATCATGGCCAAATCATCACCCAAAGTGGTTCAATGATAATGTGACAGATAGGGCTAATGCAACACAAAATCTTCAAGACAAGGTGAGAGAAAAATTAAAGATAAACAAATGCAAGGACAACCTCGTTACAAAGAACCTGGAGAGCAAGTAGAGACAAATGAACAATCAATCAGTCAGATGCTGAGTGATGTGGTTGACTTTAAAGAGGAGTTGACATCACATAGGTGGAAGATTTAATAAATCCACAATGCAGTTAAAGAGGATCACCATCCTTAAACAGGAATACACAAGGGATGTCTTCTAGAAGGCCCAGAAATTGAAGCAAGTAACAAGAGTATAGTAATGTGTAACAACCCCCGATCTGACAATTCTCAGGGGGGGGGGGCGGCAGAGATCTCTGGGACAAATTGAAAGAACTACACAGCAACCCACAATATGGGAATGCTCAACTAAAGATCAGAAGAAGACACATTAGGACAACCTAGGGCCCCCTTTTATCTATTTATTTATTTTTTGTATTTAATTTTTTCTTGAAAAAGAAATAAAAAATTCCAGGTTTAAATAAAAATCATATACTTACTGACTGAAATACTTGATAACAATAAGTTCAAATAATGAAATGTGAGATCATAACACATATTGGTGTGTGTGGTGTTGTGTGGAAATTTTTTGTGATGTCAAGCACCACCAACACGAGGGGACATAACTACAAACTCGCCAAGTTATACAGAACAAACATAAGGAAATACCTGTACTACTTAACTACAAGCTCTCCAAGTTATACAGAACGAACAGAAGGGAATACCTATACTTCTTCACACAGAGGGTGGTAGACATATGGAATTGTCTACAAACCCAAGCTGTGGAATCAAGAACAATACTGGGCTTCAAAACAGCCCTTGAAAATATTATCAAGAACAATGCAGGGATCTTACTCAGGCCACTGGCCTCCTTCCTTCAGCACGGCCACGGGACACCTCTAGTGGATGGACAATTAGTAAATAAGGTATATTAAGAAAGCATTAAAGTTATATGAGCAAATGGGAGACTGGTACGTATGGAAGATTTTTGACAACAAGAGGAAGACAATATGAAATGGGGAGGTCGAGTGGTGCTATTATGCATGTGTGTGTGCACACACAAAGTAACCCCTTGATAGGATATGGCATAATGCTCAACTGAGCAGCATGTCCTGGAAAAAATATGTTTCGACTAAATTAAAAATAATTAAGAAAAATAGGATGACATTTATGGTACCAGATTCTTGAAGGTTTGTGCACAGAATTTTTGCTCATGCATTGAGATGTAAGAATACATGTAACTGGCAGGCTTAAGATAAAATGCAAAAATAATTTTGTAGTAACATTAGAATTGCATATAAACTATAACTACTGGGGGTTCCTGAGGATGTTCTTAAGTTGGATTTGTACGTGTCGGAACACAGGCTGTGTGTTTACAGTTCAGGGCGTCCTTGCTTAATGTGGGGGGTTACGTTCCTGAAAATGCAACGTTATGTGAAACAACGTTAAGTGGATCAATTTCCCCCATAAGAAATAGACAAAATACGGGAGTTACGTTCCTGAACCTCCCTTTGCCCCATGAAAAAAGTTACATATACAGAAAATCATTGCCATTTCTATAGAAATAGTATATAGAACCACAGTACTAAGTTTGTATTGGTACTCACCGATGGGCGGAGGTGGTAGAGTGAGTGTATGGTGGGTAGTGGAGCGAAGGAGGAGGATGGTAGGAGCGGAGGAGGAGGGCGAGTCACTGAGACTGCGGCTGCCTCCTCCTCTGACTGGGGTTCCTCCACCGCTGCTTGCTCCTCCTCGGCTGCTGGCTGTTGTGAAGAATCTCCTTCTGCCATCCCGCAACGAAAAAATGAATCCAGTGTTGACTGCTTGGTGCTACTCATCTTCTTATCGATCTTGGTGTAACAACCAAGACTGAAGTCAATGCTGCGTTGAACCTTTGAGCTACGTTCTCTGTTTGGGTCGTCATCTAAAAGCATTTGCATTGCTTGCTGGAACATATTCCAGGATTCAACCAACCTCTTGGAAGTTAGCGTTCGTTGAGGTTCTTCGTCGTTGTCGTCGTCTTAAGCGGGACTGTGTTCTGTTAATTGTTGCAGATCTTCATTGGTGAGCTCTTCTGTATGGGATGCCAGGACGTCCTCAATATCCTCTGATTCCAGCTCATCAAAGCCTGCCTGTCTAGCCAAGCTGAGGATATCCCTATTCACAGCTGGGACAAAGTCAATGAATCCCGTAAAACTGTTGACACACTTGGGCCACAGTTTACGCCACACACCATTCAGGCAACTTTCTGAAATCTCTTCCCATGCCTTGCCAATGTTGTCAATTGCAAGAAGAATGTTGAAGCCGCTCCAATATTCTCAGATCGCTGGTTTATTTTCTCCCTCTGTAGCCTTGAGCAGCTTGGCCATGGAACGGCGTAAATAATACTCCTTGAATGCGGCGATGACGCCTTGGTCCATAGGCTGAATCAGTGCTGTCGTGTTGGGAGGCAGGAATACAACTTTTACACTTTCATGCAAGTCATCGAGATTGGGAGGATGAGCTGGAGCATTGTCATAGATCAGAAGAATTTTGAAGTTAAGGCCTTCCTTGGCACAGTATTTCTTCAGTGCAGGTACGGCGTACACGTTTAACCACTGGGTAAATATGGCGCCGGTTATCCATGCCTTTTTGTTTGCCTTGTAAATGACAGGAAGGTGATCCTTAGAGTAACCTTTCAGGGCCCGTGGGTTGGTCAGCACGAGAAATTAGCATAGGCTTCAGCTTGGAGTCACCGGCAGCGTTCTCGCCAAGTAGCAGCAACAAGCGGTCTTTTGCCGCTTTAAAACCTGGCACTCTTTTCTCCTCCTTGGAGATATAGGAGGTCCTCTCAGGCATCATCTTCCAAAAGAGACCAGTTTCATCCACATTTAAGACTTGCTTCGGTGAGTAGCCTCCTTGCTGGATAATCCGTTTGAATTCTGGCGGGAATGTCTCGGCAGCAACAGTATCTGAACTGGCAGCTTCACCAGTCATCTTTATCTTGTGGAAGTTATAACGACGCTTAAATCGTTGAAACCATCCTCGGCTGGCCGTAAAGGTCTCTTCCTTCGATCCTTCACCCTCTTCGCCCTTTAAGTCATCAAACAAGGATCTGGCCTTATGCTGGATAACCATAAGGCTCACAGGGGCATTGTGTAGATTCTGGTCCTCCATCCACATTGCCAGCATCTTTTCCACCTTCTCTATCACAGTGCTTCGAGTAAGAGTAGTCTTAATAGCACTCATAGAAGAATAATTTCCAGCACTAAACCTTAATCTTGTCAGCGTTGGTCTGGATAGTACGCACTGTTGTGGGAGTTAGACCAAGCACAGCGGCTATGTCCACAGCACGTTCCCCTTTTTCAAATCGGGTTAATACATCCATTTTCATAGCAAGGGTAATGGTCTTACATTGCCTCTTCACTACACTAGCATCAGTAGCACTTGATGGGCACTTGGAAGCCATTTCGAATGGTTAGAGTACAGTAGCAAAAACACTTAAGCACACACACATGATGTGAAGTCGTAACAGAGACTGGCTTGGCGTTGCTTGGGGACACTGTGATGTTCCGCGAGTGAATACAGCGTGCCAAGCCGAGCAAGTGATGCAACTTGGAAAGTAGTCCGTGATGATGCAAAACGCTGCAGTATCGGATCGCCGGGACGTTAATCAAATTTTTGGTCTCTAAAGTTGAGCGACGTAGTACCGAAACGTTAAGTGGAACGACGTTAAGCGAGGACTTATTGCACACCTAAAATCACTTAATTTAAGACAAAGAAGAAATAGAATGACAAAGTACAGTAAATGAAAGTAAAAAATAGTCATCAGGTAAATCAAATACTGTAAATTTCAAGTTTGACCCCATTCGTATCGGCGGACGTTTGTAAATCTTTTTTTTTTTACCTGGCAGTATTAGTCTAACAAGTCCCCATATAGCTCATACATAATGTTCGATTAATTCTGGCTCACTTTAATGCCGAATTTAATGTATATGTAAAGATATAAGTGCTTGAAAACTTTAACTTTCAAGATATGAGTGGAA